CTCGATGTGGACAATGCTCGTTGCCAAAAGTGCAATAAGAGTTTAGCATGTAAGGGCGGTAACACGAGCAATTTGTCTAAACATTAAGCAAAAGTGCAGCACATTCAGATGGAGAAATGCACATGTTCGACTGTCTTTCTCGTAGCTCTGTAGCACCCCCGTCCACGAGTAACGTTTCCACGTCAGGTGTTACAGTATGTATGCTAGCTGTAACACACAGAGTTAACTCAATAGCTTGGTTTCACTTGACGTCACACCGCTGCGTTCCTTTGGCGCGAAATTCCATAGGAGGTCAGGAAGTAATTTTCTACAGAGGATCTAGCTGCTGTTACCATTGTGAAAATGCCGGTGTGTTGTGTAGTTTACGGTTGTTCCAATCGATCCGGCCGAGAGAAAAACAAGAGGTTTTACCGAGTGCCGAAGGTTGTCGTCCATAAAGCTGAGCAATTTAAGAAGCTAACCGAAGAACGCCGGAAAAAATGGCTTTCAAACCTACATCTGCGGTCGGGAGGAGCAGAGTCGTCTAATGCACGTGTCTGCAGCGACCACTTCATCAGAGGTATTAGCTAACTTGGTTTTTGTGGCTTTGTTTATGTATTATTGGGTTGTGGTTAAATGCTTATTTACTTAGTAATACTGATCATGTTTAAGTTACCTGTAGTCTAATATGGACTTTGTTGGGACTTTTTAGGGTGCCCTAGCGCTTTGGGTGACGTTGAGTCGGTAGACTGGCTCCCACTGTTAGCCTCTGTTACCACACAACAAGTAAGCCCAGATCAGAGGCATCTCTTCGACGAGAGCAGAGGATGGAGCTCAAGGAAGACCAACAAAGACAATCAGAATGTGCAGAGGCTTTGTTGGATCTCCTGCAGACAACCGAGAGCCCAGAACCGACACAGCCCCCGTCTGACAGCCCACAACCAGAGGACACCAGTGGGATATTAAATGACCAACAAGATAAATTAACCACCAGCATTATTATTAAATATTACAAATGTGATTGTCAGAAAATCAATGCAAACTTTGAATTAGGTTTAGGTTTAGAAAATAGAGTACTAACTTGAGAATCTGCAATAATTGGAACAGAGAACTTGCATGTCTGTAAAAAGGTTGTCAAAAAGATAACATCACAACAATTCACATTCATATTTAACTATTTTAAATAACTAATTATGCTTGCTACTGCTATATTGTATGTAGATGCAGGATGCCAGACTGATTTAACGATGGAGGACATCGAGAGGATGGAGGATGTTCTGAGACAGAACACAACAGAGCTGGGAGATCTTCGGACAAAGGCACTGGACACAAAGTTCAACCAGGAGTCCTTTGAGAACAACGAAGAGAAGACAAAGTTTTACACCGGGCTCCCCAACTTCTTAGTTTTACTTCAGGTTTTTCAACTGTGCGAGCCCTACATCACCTGTGGCCCTATGTCTGTGCTCTCCAAATTTGAACAGTTCATTTTAGTTTTGCTGAGGCTGAGACTAAATCTCCCTCTGAAAGATTTGGCTTTCAGGTTCAACATCTCTCTCTCCACTGCTTCTAGAATTTGGCATAAGTTAATTGACATACTTCATGAGAGTACAGAATTTATAATTGAGTGGCCAGAGCGACATGTACTTCAAGCTACAATGCCAATGGGATTCAGACAGGCATTTGGATGTAGAGTTGCTGTGATTGTTGACTGTTTTGAAGTTTTTATTGAGAGGCCCTCTAATTTACTAGCTAGAGCACAAACATGGTCCAACTACAAGCATCACCATACTGTTACA